GAGGTTCACAGGTATAGCCACCATTTATGTTGTTGAAAAAAGGAATTGCAGTAAATAAGTAGTTGGTTTTGCAAAATTCTATTTAGCAATATCCAACATCATTTTTACCACACCAAGGCCCTGTTTTCCAGCTACTGATGATGATTCTTTGTTTTCAACTTTTTATTCCAATCACTAGTAATTATCAATGTATCTTGATGGCATGTTTGGTAAATTTCAGACTATAGAAGCTGGTAAGGCTTCAATTTCTTCATCTTTGGCTTTAGTGGTTGGTGAGTAAATTTGAGTAATAATAGTGTCATCTAGTCTTCCTCATAGGTATATGGATATTATCCTATCACTGATACAGTGTACCTCAGGACAGATCTTAAAACATTCCTTCTGATGAAATGCCATTCCTCTTCAGTTTATCATTTCTGGCAGAGTAGACCATATGATTTTTTTAATTCAAAATGGCCAATACCAGTCCACTTCAGGCCACTAATGCCTAGCATATAGATCTTTATGTGTTCCATTTCATTTTTTACAACTTCCAATTTTCCTAGATTCCTTCATTTACTCCATGTTCTAATTATTAATGGATGTCTGGCTGTTTCTTCCCATTTTGAGTCATGCCCCATCAGCAAATGAAGGTCCCAAAAATTTTATTCCATCCATGTCATTAAGCTGACTCTACTTTGAGGAGGCAGCTCTTCCCCTGTCACATTTTAGGTGTCTTCCAATCTGAGGGGAAATATTCCAGCACTGTATCATACAACGTTTCACAGCTATTCATTTTGTTTTCCAGGAACATATCAGACAGTGTTTCACTGCTATTCCAAAGGTTTTCACTGGCCAATTTTTTCAGAAGTGTATAGCCCCATCATTCTTTCCAGTCTGGAAGCTCCGCTGAAACCTATCCACCATGGGTGACCCTGCTGGTATCTGAATTACCAGTGGCACAACCTCTAACCTCACAGCAATATTAAAGCCACCACAGTACAACAAACTGATAGATGAATGGTGGAAAGGCCAAGAGATATTTTACAGGCCTCAGCAACATTTATTTAAATCTTGGAAGAGCAACCACCATTTACTAAGTACTTACAGAACGTCAGTTTCTACTAAGTTTTCCATTCATGAGCCCACTTAATTTTTACAACAAAAGACAAAGTAACCTTGTTGAAACAGATCAGCTAAATGATTTGCCCAAAATCACAGAAGCAGGCCATGATTTGAACTTAGTCCATGTTCTCTACTTTCTCCCTGTTTTCAAAGGCAAGGATGGACCATCATTACATACTTTTTCACATGGTTATGACAAAGTAAAATGTGCCCTACCTAAATAATTGAAATGAATAGAATTATCTTGCAGAAAGCCATTTGGCCCTTGGTATCAGTTCCTGCAAGCTAGACAACACCTGAGGCAAATGAGTAGGGTCTGAGTATACCAAGACGGACCACCTGGGGCATGATGCTCACTAAGCTTCAGGAGGCATGATAAAATCTATCACACACACACACACACACATAAAAAAAAAAAAAACCTCACTGCCACAGAGTCAGATCCAACTCATAGCGACCCCTCCTTGGATTTCTGACGTGGAATCACTACAGAAGTAGATTGCCCAACCTTCCTTCTGAGGATACCCAAAAAACACCTAACTCACTGTCACTGCATCAATTTCAACTCATAGCAATTTCCACTGGGTTTCCAAGCCTGTAAATTTTTCCTCCCACAGAGCAGCTCATGGTTTTGAACAGATGACCTTCTGGTTATGACACAACAAAACAAAAAAAGCCAAACTCACTGCTGTCGAGTCAGATTCAAGCCACAGTGACCCTTCCTTGGGTTTCCAAGGTTGTATCACTATGGAAGTAGAAAGCCCAATCTTCCTTCTGAGGAGTGGCTCGTGGGTTTGAATCACCAGCTTTCTGATGGTTCAAATGCCTTAGGTACTATGCCACCACAGCGTCCATGACACAATAAAGGCCTTGGAAAACTGAAGAAACTTTTTGGTTGGTGACCACACATGAGAGAGTGTAGTGCATACCTCTTCGAGACACAGACGCTTTGTAGTAAGTCCTTCTCAAACCTCACCCTATATATCTCTTCATTTGTATGCTTTTTGGTTGTAATAAATCTGCAGTAAGTATAGTAAACTCTCAGTGAATTCTCAGCTCATTCGAACAAATTATTGGATTTAAAGGACCAAGGCAGGGGAGCTGGCTGGTCTGAATTAGGAGACATACTGTCTGTCAAGATTGTGGCCAGTATTTGCTGATTTATCACTATTCAATAGAATGCCAATGCAAGACATTTGTGCAATTTAAAATTTTCTTGTAGAAACAGATCTGTATTTTCGTATTTGATTTGACTCATTATATATAAAACATTATCATTAAAACATGTAATCAGTATTTTAAAAAATTGAGATATTTTGCTTTTATTTTTTCTGACTTTGAAATCGGGTATGCATTTTATACTAGTCTAAATTTAGACCAGTCATACTTTCATTGCTCACAGTCACATGTGGATAGTGGCTACCATGTTGGACAGTATAGATCTAGATGTTATGGTCAAGAGTTGTCTGTCTGCATTGTTCTAAACCCTACTTTGGTTTAGCCACTATCCAAGTAGCAACTTGGGTCTTAAAAGCTTGCAAGTGGCCATCTAAGACGCAACAACTGGTCTTACCTCATCTGGAGCAAAGAAGAATGAAGAAAACCAAAGACACATGGAAATAATTAATCCAAGGGACTAGAGGACAACGTGAACCTCAGCCTACAGGACCCTGAGGTCAGAAGAATTGATGGGGCCTGGCTACCACTGTCAACCACTTGCAAAGGGATCAAAATAGAAGATTCCCCTGGATAAAGTGGGAGAAAAATAAGGAACAAAACACAAAACCATAAAAAGGACCAGCCTTACTGATCTGATAGACTGGTAAAACCCCCCAAGACTATGGCCCTTAGTCACCCTTCAGGCCTGGAATTAAACTCACCCCCATGGCTTCCAGCCAAACAACAGACAGGCATATAAGGAGAACATTTACACCAGCACAATCAACCATGGGTGATCAGAAGGGCAGTATTTGCACAGGGAGATAGCTCAGGGGGCAGGAATGCATAGGAAAGAAGGATAGAGGGGAAAGGTAACCACAGTGAGGAAGTAAGAAGAGAGCTGTTACATTATGAAGATTGCAACCAATGCCATGAAATAAAATGTGTATGAACTGTTGTATGGAGAATGAATTTGCTTTGTAAACTTTCAGCTAAATCACGATTTGGGAAAAAAAAAAAAGTGGTATGGCTGAAGTGCAAGTAAAGGAGATGGGAAGGATACAAAGATAAATTTGTCTAGGGCTAATCCTAACCACAATGTTCCTAATGCTGAAAAAGATCAAGTAAGCTGTCATCATCAGATTCTGATCCCCTCTTTCTTATCAGTTCGGAAGTGACAAAGACAAAGGACTGAAGCAGTACTACTAAGCTGAGAATACTGCAGGATCCTTGTCACACATTATAGAAAATGTCACTACTAGATACTCAGAAGGATATTATGCCATTGTGCAGTCAAATGTGGAAGCACCAACACAATTTTAAATTAAATCTCACTTACTAGAACCAAGGTGCTCCACCTTGGCTACACAATGAAATCATATCATGAAATATTGATACTAGAGTCTTACCCTAGTATTCTGATTTAGTTGATCTAAGATGCTGACCTTGGCCCTGGGATTTTTCAAACACTCCCCAGGTGATTCTAATGTGCAAATGTAGGCACCCTGCTACTCAAATGTGGTACAAACAAGGAGCTGGTTAGAAACTGTAGTTATCACCTATGATTCAGAATCTGCACCTTAAACATGACCCCCAGGTCGTTTGCATACACATTAAATTCTGAGAAGCACTGATCTATATCATGTGGTCTGTCTCAACTTCAATTCTTTAGACCTTATCGTCATCAGCAGTAGTGAATAATAACAAGGAACAAACACATGGCATGCAATCATTTCATCAAATCCAATCTATCTAACCCTATGATGCTTTTAGTAGGTATCAGAAAGCTTCCTAACTAAGATGGGCTAGGTTGGAAGGTCTGGCAACCTACCACTGAAAATCAACCAAGGAAAACCCTATGGATCACAACCATCTGATCTGCAACTGATCACTGGGATGGCATAAGATGGACAGCATTTTGTTTTGTTGTGTACAGGGCTGTCATGAGCCAGGGGCTGACTTGATGGTACCTAACAACAACCCTATGAAATGGGTGATGTAATTAACTTTCCTTGTACAAATAAAGAGATGGATGTACAAAGAAGTTAAGTGACTTGTGTAAGGCTGGTAAGGACTTAAACCCAGGCAGTCTAATTCCATACCCTATATTCTTAACCATTATGCTATAATATATGAGAATGAATGCTCTGGCAAGCTGAGTATTAACATAAAGACCAGGAGGAGGAGAAAAAAGACAAAATAAGAGAAGGATTAGAGAAGTGGAGGAGAAGAGAGATAATGAAGGAGAAAGTAGACCACTAATTGTCTTGGGAACCAGTATGCCCAGGGTAGAGTATGCTTTTTGTTGTCAGACCTGACTCCTAACAATCGCTCCTTGGGTTTCCAAGGTGGTATCACTGCGGAAGTAGACTGCCCAACCTTCCTTTCGAGAAGTGGCTGGTGGGTTTGAACCGCCAGCATGCTGGTTAGCAGTCAAGTGCCTTAGGCACTACGCTACCAGAGCTCCTGTATTTGGCTCAAAGTAGGACTTATCCTTCAGGGAATTATCACGTAACTGAAATAAACTTCCACTGGCATATGAATGCAAATTCCTTCTCCACCCCTCCTTCCTATGGTTGATTAATTATCCCACAAAATAGGGAAAAGTTCCCCTTCCCTTTAAATTTTTAAAAATAAAAAATTAAGGAAAAAAAAATTATCCTTGAGGTCACACTGCCAACACAGGTTCATGGCAAAGGCATTTGATTTTTTGGGGAACTTGAATTGTATTTTCTTACCTCCAGGCGACGGATGATCTCCCGAAGTGGAAGAGCAGACTCCTTTCCCCCAATGAAGGTTGTGGTGGGCAAGTGGAAGACTTTGTCAAGGTCAGATTCATGTAGTCCATAAAACCCTGCAGGATTATTGTGGATGGAACAAGCCAGAAGAGAGATGTCTTTGTAAAACATACGACAGTCACATAGGGACCAACATTTCATGGAAAGGGGAAGGAAATTCTTAGAAGAGAAAAGAAAAGTCACATAATAAAACCCAACTGATCTATATGAAAATAAATAATAATATTTTAAATCCAGAAACACAAACTTTAGAAATAATGGAAATTGAAATTATTCCTGATGTCACAGGTAAACCAGAACAAGATTTATATTATGCATATGACTTTTTTTTCAGTACAGTGAAAATTATTGATAATTTAGAGACAGCTTTATTTCATGGTCCCATGGACACATACCAATGTTGGAGGTGCAAAAAGTGCCATAAAAAGGCACTAGGCAAGTCAATCTAAAAGCAAGTAAAAATAGTTAAGGAGGGAATTAAAGGAGAAAACAACAAAATGCTATAGAATAGCAAATTATTTGGGTATTATTGACAATAACATATGTATGCAGTAAGAAAGAAAAAGCTAGGGAGACACCAGAGTGAGACAGAAAACTGTCAACAAAATCAGAAGTAAGTGGTCCACAGCAGGATGAATGCAGAATAACAAGGTGATGTATAAAACCATCCCCATCCTTTACACCTAAGGATGGCTTTCTTCTAAAAATACTTCAAGCTGTAACTTTTAAGTCTATTTTACAGACGGTATTCAACAATCACAAATCTCAACTCCCTCTCCCAAATCCAATCCCTTAAATATTTACAGGAACACTGACCATGTGCAAGGTGCTTCCTCATCTGGAAGTGTATTTGAAATGGTTTTTCAAAAAATGGTGGGAGGGCTTTCTTTGGCATTATATGCTTGTTTCATACAATAATAACTATCAAAGGGGAAGAGAGAGTAAAGAAAAAAACATTCGTCACATGATGCTCAAAGGTTCCCTTTACAGTTCAGCTACCTACCTTGAGGTAATGTATTGACTGGAATAAGGTAAAGAAAGAGTGCAGTTCAAAGAATTGCTAGCACTTGTGTATTGTATACCAGTATTTCTTCAGATTCCAAGAATGAAAAGCAAACTGTAAACAACCAATCTGTAAAGTCTCCAGTATAGGAGTGTACAGGTAACATGTTCTCATTGTTTCTTAGCCAAATTAAATACAAGTAAGAGCAACTGTGAGACATAAGGTCCAGGTACTGGTTTAGAACATCTGTTTGCAAACACAATTGTGTAAACAAATTGCTAGGGAGATTTGTGAAAATGCTACTTCCGTGCCACAACCCTAATAATATTGACTCAGCTGGCCTTGGGTGAGGCCCAAGAATCTCCCCCAAGTGATTCTGTTTCAAGCCAGGTTTGAGAAAAACTGCCTTCATAATTCACTATCTAATACTTTAAGACATAGTTTTTAAAGTCTTACAAGCAAACTCTATGTTTTAAGTGCTGAAAGTGAAGATGACCTGAGCACTTATTGATTCAGATTGAAGAATACAGTCTGCAACACATATTACACCACAATATAAAGAAAACAAAAATCCTCACAACTGGTCTAATAAACAGTTTCACGGTGGATGGAGAAAAGATTGAAGTTATCAAGGACTTCATATTACTTGGTTCTACAGTCAACACCAATGGAAGTGGCAGTCAAGACATCAGACAATGCATTGCACTGGGCAAATCTGCAGCAAAAGACCTCTTTTAAGTGATGAAGAGCAAAGATGTCTCCTTGAAGACTCAAGTGCACCGAACCCAAGCCATGGTATTTTCAATCGCCTCTCAGGCATGTGAGAGCTAGACAATGAACAAGGAAGACTGAAGAAGAGTTGATGCTTTTGAGTCGGGGTGCTGGAGAACAATGCTGAGAGTACCATGGTCTGCTAAAAGTACTAACAAATCTATCCTGGAAGAAGTGCAGCAGGAATACTCCTTGGAAGCAAGAATGGCCAGACTTCGTCTCACTACTTTGGTCATGTTGTAAGAAGGAACCATTCCCTGGAAAAGGATATCATGCTTGGTAAAGTGGAGAGTCAATAAAGAAGGAGAAGGCCCTCAACGAGATGGACAGACACAGTGGCTGCAACGATGGGCTCAGGTATAGGAAGGATCGTGAGGCTGGCACAAGACTGGACAGTGTTTCATTCTGCTGTGCATACATTTGCTGTGAGTTGGAGATGACTTGATGGCACCTAAAAACAACAATGTTTTAAGTCTTTTTGTTTTATTAAAAGTAAATTTGCCTTTTCCCTAAAGCAAATTGTATGTCGAGAAAATGGGGTGGTAATGGTAGCAATGGGCTAGTTAAGCCTGCCCACCTCATTTCTTTCTATAAATTGATCAAGAATGAGGATCTTCCAATCATGTGGAACAGGTGAAGCAGACTGCTCTGGCCATGTACAGTGTGGCTTACTGGGAACTACCCTGCATTACTTATGGGGAAGAAAACTAACAATTTTGGTGGGAATTTCCCGTTGTTGTTGCTATGTGCCACTGAGTCGGACCCGACTCATAGCGACCCCTCCTTGGGTTTCTGAGGCAGTATCACTACGGAAGTAGATTGCCCCATCTTCCTTCCGCGGAGTAGCTGGTGGGTTTGAACCGCCAGCCTTCTCGTTAGCAGTCAAGTGCCTTAGGCACTATGCTACCAGAGCTCCTGGAATTTCTCCTAGATTAAAAAAAGAAAAAAAGAAAAGAAAACTCAGGCTAGGGGCAGGTCAGAGACCAGCATACTCAATAACACACATTTTGTTGAGAAAACATTTTGACTGTCAAAGAATCAAAAATATCCCCAGATGAGAATCATGTGTATGTTGAAATCTTTCATCATGAGGAACCCTGTGAACTAGGAACATGTTCTAGGTATCTCAAGCAACTTTAATACCCTGTTCTTACTATTTGTTCTATACTTGCATTACTCTCAATTTATCATTACTTGGGGTTGTACTGATTAATCTGCAAACTGTTAGCCCTATTTCTGAGCTCTTCAGTCATTTGACAAATTAAATATAGATATTTCTGTTTCTGAGAACATGGAGTAGATGGAGTATCCCTATTCTTTCTAAGTACAACTAAAAATCCTAAGCATAAGACAACTTTGAAAAGTAGACAGACTACGTCAGACTAGGGACCATGGGATCCAAGGAATGACACAATGCTCAGTTACCTGGGTTTTCTTTTGCCCTTTTATATCCCAGACTAAAGAAGCCAGCAACTTGGAAAATCTAACTAATACAAATTATTAAAAAAAAAAAACTCACTGCCATTGAGTCAGACCTGACTCATAGCAACCCCTCCTTGGGTTTCTGAGGTGTTGTTATCACAACGGAAGTATATTGCCCAACCTTCTTCTGAGGAGTGGCTGGTGGGTTTGAACTGCCAGCCTCCTGGTTAGCAGTCAAATGCCTTAGGCACTACACCACCAGAGCATCCCCACACAAATTATAAAGTCCCAACAAAAGCCTGCTCTCTCCAGCCAAAGAAGCAAGGGACAACCTAGTGAAGACAGAAAACTTAGACAATAACCAGTTGTCAAACACTACAGAAAAAATTATGGCTCCATCCTACCAACAACAGCAAAAGGTGAATGGGGAACCTAGACTTCCACCCTCACTCACTGCTGTCGAGTCGGATCCAACTCATAGTGACCCCTCCTTGGGTTCCCAAGGCGGTATCACCACGGAAGTAGATTGCCCAACCTTCCTTCCGAGGAGTGGCTGGTGGGTTTGAACTGCCAGTCTTCCGGTTAGCAGTCAAGTGCCTTAGGCACTACGCCACCAGAGCTCCTAGACTTCCACCCTAGCCAGGCTATAACATGCCACACCCAACCCTGTGGTTTCACAGAAAGCCAGACACGGAGACTGCACTTTTATTCCCTCTAGGAGGAGCTCTGGTAGCATAGTACCTAAGGCACTTGACTGCTAACCAGACAGCTGGCAGTTCAAACCCACCAGCCACTCCTCAGAAGCAAGATTGGGCAATCTACTTCCGTAGTGATACTGCCTCGGAAACCGAAGAAGGGTCACTATGAGTCACATCCGACTCAATGCCACATAACAACAACAACAGGAGGTAATGAGCCCTGCCCCCATCCCCATTTCCACCCCAATGTCAGTAGAGGCCATGTGGGTAACTGGATTTATACCTTCCACCTAGCAGTAACAAGTCAGCTCTTCCTCTTCTTCCACTGAAGCAATGTCCAAAGAAGGCTTCTTACAACTGAAAATTTAAATAAGATCCAAACTCACTGCCCTCAAGTTGATTCTGATTCATAGTGACCCTATATGACAGAGCAGAATTGCTCCATAGGGTTCCCAAGACTGTAATCTTTATGGAAGCAGACTGCCACATCTTTTTTCCTCTGCTGATGGGTGCAAACTGTCCACCTTTCAGTTAGCAGCTGAGCGCTAAACCAAAATGTTCAAATTTCAATTTTAAAAATCACTTTTAACAAGAACCAGGAAAATCTCAGATTCAATAAGTAAAGGCAATAAACTGATACCAACACCAAAATGACATATATGCTAGAATAATCTGACAAAGATTTTAAAGGAGCAATCATAAAAATATTTTAATGAGCCATTAAGCACATGCTTGAAACACATCGGAAAAAGTCTCAGCAAAGAAATAGAAAGTCTTAGCAAAAATATTGAGGATGTAAATAAAAACCAAATGGAAATTTGAGAAGAGAAAAATATAGTTGATAGAAATAAAAACCTCAATCTATACATGTATTAAACATCAGAATGGAGGGAATCAAAGAAAATCAGTATATTTGAAGACAGAACAATAGGGATTACCCAACCTGAACAAAAGAGAAGAAAGACTGAAAAAGAAGATGGACAGAGCCCCAGGGGCATGTGGAACCATACCAAAAGCATTAACATTCACACTGGCTGAATTCTAAAAAGAATGGAAAAAAACAGTTAGCTAAAAAAGTACTTGAAGAAACTGAAAACTTCCCAAGTGTGGGAAAAAATTTAAACACACGAGACTTAAGAAGCTCAGAGAACCCAAAGGACAA